TGTGTGTGTGTGTGTCAGGGTTCACTCCGGGTGCGAGGGAGCTCTTTAAACAGGAGAACCACTTGGCTCTGTACCAGCTACCATCTGGAGAGAAGACCAAGGAGTTCTCTTCCCGTCGCCTTCATTACTTCATCAAACGCCAGCCTCCCATCTCCCACCTCATCTCCCTGTTCGTACGAGACTCTTCCTCCAGTGAGTCCACACATACTTCAGTTATATAATCTAAGCTAACCCTGTTTTCCTTCTATGCACTTGTTGCATTTTGCTGTCAGCTGACCTTGTTTCCTTTCCCTTTGCCTGAATATCTGAGTGAGTTGAACAGAGAATTTGTTTTAATGCCAAAGTTATTGATTCTGTCTGTCATGACCCCTGCTGTAGATAACGTCCAGATGCTGTCACATGGCTCGGCCGACCTTATCCTGGAGGCCTGCACTGACTTCTGGGATGGAACTGATATCTATCCTCTCTCAGGCTCAGACAGGTGCAGTGTCTGTCACACTGATAATTTTCACTTTGCTGCAAAGATTCACAATCTATTATTTCTAACGGTCTTTCTATTTGTAACTCTAACTCGTCCCTTCTCCTCCTACAGAAAGAAGGTTCTGGATTTCTACCAGCGTGCCTGTCTGTCAGGTTACTGCTCAGCGTTTGCCTATAAACCCATGCAAGTATCACTGTCCAACCAACTGAATGGGAAGTGCGTGGAGCTGGCCCCTGGTCCCTGCCTCTTCTCCGGAGTGGAGCTGCCCTCCACCACCCCCATCAAGCACAACTCCTGCAGGAACAGCTGGAGCTCTGATGGTATGAGTTACTGATATATGGGGATTTCTAGTTCAAGTATTAATATATATCAACAAAGGACTGTCTCACTCATTTTCCCATCTGTTTTCCTGTCATTGTCTCTCCCCATCGTGTCCACAGAGGGTATAGGTGAGGGTGTGGAGCGTGAGGACTGTGTTCAGGCCCTCAGTGGGCAGATCTTCATGGGCATGGTATCGTCCCAGTTCCAGGCGAGACTGGACACAGTTCGGCTCATCGATGCACTGGTCACCGCTTGTATCCGGTTTGTTTACTTTTCCATGGAGGATGAGCTCCGCAGCAAGGTGAGCACACACAAGCTCATATGAACATTTGATAGTGTGTGACAGATGGTTATCTTGGCCAGAATTATCTTTGTATGACACAGTCAGGACATGAAATGGGTCCCTTTGAGCTCTCTGTGTCGCTGTTGTCTATTTTTCATGACAAGTGCGTCCAGCATTTCCCATCATGCAGTTGTTTCCTGTCCACAGTCCCAATCGCAGTTTTGTTGTTGTCATTGCAGTACAGTTACTACAAAAATCCTTTACAAATAATGCAAGAATCAACCAATCAATCAGACTTTATTTGTATTGCACGTTTCATACAAGCAAAATGTAACACAAAGTGCCTCACACAGTAAATCACTGGTTTTATGTCTATGCAGGTTTTTGCAGAGAAGATGGGTTTAGAGACAGGCTGGAACTGTCACATCTCTTTGACTCCAAACGGAGAAAGTCCTTGTGATGGAGCTCCATCCAGCCCCGGTCACGGCTCCCTGCATGAGGACCTAAACCAAGGTACCAAAAGCGTGTTTGTACAGACTCTTTTACAGCAGGTTGGAAAGACCTCTGTAGCCCACTAGAGGTCCCAGGCTACATTAGCCACTACCACACCTGAATGTCAGTCCTTGCCCAACTAACTGTTGCGCTATATATATTGGATAATGGAGGTTCTTTGACAAAGAAGAAGAATGCATAGAATAAAATTTAAAAAAAGGATTAAATGTGTGGTTCTGCTGCAGCAATATCATCATAGAAAATATCGATACATTTGACTTTTGCATTTTGTGATTCTCAAAAACACTGTATGTAAACCTGTATTCCCCAAAGCATTACATAGCAGTGTTGTTGTATGAATCAGATCTTGTAACCATGGCATTGCCCTGCACCGTGAGCTGGTCATCACATGTGAACAGAGGCTGAAAGTTAAGTGCCAAAACAAAGAAAAATGATCCCCTCTATGTTTTTTAGGCTCAACAAGGCTAGTTGTAAAATGTGAGTTTTTGAAAGCATCTCTAACTTTAGCCAGCTCTCTTCATGCGTGACACAGACTCTCGGGATGAAGCAGAAGGTCCACTGCTGCCAGAGGAGGAAGCCCACTCCGACCTGGCCAGTTTCCAGCCCACAGACAGCGATGTGCCCAGCTTTCTGGAGGACTGTAACAGGGTAACAATACCTTTCATTAAAACTACTGCTCAAATATCTGTTTTACATTCACACCAACAACACAGACTGATGTCTCTGTCCTTTCTTTCTGAACCAGCAGGTGATGCTTTTGACTTCAATCTCAGTTTTTGTTTAAACTTCATAGAATTTTGTTCCTGCTTTTTCTTTGTCTGTGAATTTCTTTTTTCAGCTCATAATTTGTTTTATATCAGACTAGAATTAGTTACATTTAGTCTGAACCAAGATTATTATTCTTAACTAAAACTAAACTAATATACGATATTGTGTACTTAATAAACTAATTACAATAAATAAAATATACAGGAAATTAATTTTTTGTCAATGTGGTCGAATGTGTCAACACAACAACCATTAGGAGGTGTTATGGAGGTGCATATTTTTATTGAGACTGGGATGTCTACATGACTGTGAGTTAATGTGTTTATATTATAAAACCTATTCTGACAAATACCCCTATATTATAATTAAAAAAACGTAACACTGAAAAGAATAAAACATTTTTAAATATAAAAACTAAATTGAAACAAGCAAACCCACTCTGAAACTACATTCATTAATAATAATGAAAAGTACAAACCTACAATAACTCTGGTCTGAACATGTTTGTTTTCTGTCTTTTTTTACTGTGCCTGTTTTTCTGTCTGCCTGCTTTTTCTCAGGCCAAGCTACCTCGTGGGATCCACCAGGTTCGTCCTCATCTGAAGAACATTGATAATGTGCCTCTTTTGGTGCCACTCTTCACTGACTGCACCCCTGACAGTGAGTCTTCTTTATGTCTTTTATATACTAGTCACCCTCCCTATGCCTTATTCCACTTTCTTTTGTACACGTTTTTTTGTCTTACTTATCTTGTCCTCTTCGCCATTGTCTTCATCTGAGGAATGAGGAATAGTCATGATAAACAACCGATAAGGCCTATTTCATGGACAGAAATGAGTCTCTGTCCTGGATATACTCAGTGTTTGCTTTAGTCTAATATTTTTTCTTCACAGCCATGTGTGAGATGATGAAGATCATGCAGGAGAACAGGGAGGTTACATGCTGTCTGGGAAGCTCTGCCAATTTCCGCAACAGCCGCCTGTTTCTACAGAGTGACGTCAGGTATACAGACATTAAACATTTTTTAAATTTGTTTTGACTTTGTGTTGATTTTCATTTTTATCACAAAACTTAAAAACTACTACATTTTTATTCTTAACAGTGGGAAAGACTCAAAACAAAAACTCTCCATTCAAATGATTTTTGTCAATACGCTGGACTGTGTGCCGCTCACAGCATTAATGAATGACATTCAAAAAACGTTCAACGCGCAACATCTCTGTCAAGAGTCAGTGTTCTGCATAATCCGACAGAACTCATAGGTACAGTTCATTACACAGGAAGTTAGGTGCAGTCATCTGTTAGTGTTGATACAAAAAGAAACAATGAGGAAACACAGAGGGAGGGTTTCACTGAAACCCGCATTTTGTAATAGTTTTCATTTTCTTGTTGCCCGGAAGATTTTCAAGTAAGCACATATCCTTTATACATAAACCTTTTGCATCCCTCCAAAATACAGAGAAGGAAAGGACACGTACCGAAACGTCCCACTGTCTTCCAAAAAGGCTGTAAACTGTGTATAGACAATACCAAGATATGTGGGCATGGTCCACATGTGCAGATCCACACTGGAATCTAGTTCATTTGGATTTCTGATAAGGATAAAAAATCAGAGTTGTTGCTTTTGAAAGTGTATCTAAGTGGACAAATAAAACCAAAACTATCTGCATGGCTAGATACTTCCAGAGGGTAGTGAAAAAAATATCTTTTTGTAATTTGGGCGTACTGACTCTTTAAGGGCTTCCCATAAATAACCAGTGTAGTACTGATTATTGATCATAACAATACGTTATCAGACAAACTGCTTTATATTCTGATTGGTCCATATGTGAACCTTCCTCCACAGCATTGCTCTGGACCCTCTGTATCCGTCTCAGTGCTTGTGGGAGACGTTCGGCTACGCCACCGGAGGAGGATTTAACGGAGACGTCGAAGGGCTGTCCCCTCTGAGGCTCTCTGGACAGCTCAACAGTCTGGGCTGTTCCGTCACCTTCCACCAAGGAGAGAGTGTCAGCATGGTCAAGCTCATAGAGCAGGTGAGACACACGCACACCATCAGTCCTACACACTCAGTTCAGTCAGAGAGGTACGTCGCATTTCTGAATCAATCTTCCTTTGGGTTCTTTTCCAGGCACGACACACAACCTACGGCATCCGCAAGTGCTTCCTTTTCCTGCTGCAGTGTCAGCTCAGTCTAGTCATGCTCCAGGTGAGAGAGGAGACCGCACAATGCCACACTAGGCTAGATTTTTATTATGAGACTTTCTGCAACACAGAGACATTTGTGATATTGAAGAGCTAAATGAAGTGCTCTGGTGTTTGTCCACAGTTCTTAGCCTGCCTAGCTCAGCTTCCTCCTCCCATGAACACCACTGACATCCTCTGGCTGTCCTGCTTCAGCTGCCCGCTGCTAAGGTACACACACAAACATTCTCACACACATTAATCCATCCACAGTGTTGTGCAGAATGTCATACTAATGGTCCGTTTGTTGACAGTGTGTCACTTTTGGGGAAGCCACCAGACAGTTCAGTCATGACAGTTGCCACAGGGAAGAACCTAGATGCAATCCCAAGGAAGGTAGGATCACTTATCAGTCAAATCTTTCAAATCTACTGCTGATCTGTAAGATTTTACTTACTGGGTTGCTACTGCTAAAGATTAGTGAAGCATACCTGCATACTATTAACCAGTGTGTTAAACTCTGCATGCTGTATAGTGATACTAGAAACTTCTTCCAGCCAGATTAAGCCCAACAGTATGTTTTCCTAATAACAATAATGGCTTTGACTAATGGTAATAGCACAGACAACAAACAGTTGCTTTTTCTGCTATATCTCCAGCCTGGATAAATGTAAATAATGTGTAATGTGCAATTCACCCTTCCTAAGTCCCACACTTTTTTCTCTGTGCTCCAATAACAGTTGAGAAAACCACGGTCTGAACCCCAATCCGCCCCTTTTGTAACCTCAGTTAACTTCCTCCTTTCCTGTACTTAGATATGCTATGTTCTAGCTTTGTCTGTGTTGAGACAAAGACAACCACATTAAGAAGATAGTTAAAAGATAAAAGCTACATATATATGTATAAAGTCACATCTTAAGTTAGCAACATCTTAATGTTAGCAAAAAAAAGCTAACCTGCATCTATTATAATCTAGCTAGTTAGCTAGTGTTTTGCTAGCAAGCTAACTAAAGGTGTGACTGTATATGTGTCACTTTTATCTTTCTTATCACTTCTTTTATCTTCAAAATGTGGTTGTCTTTGCAACACAGACAAGGCTAGCACATAGCATATCTAAGGAAGGAGGAAGTTGACTGAGGTTACAAAAGGGGAGGGACTCATTTATTTGGTGCATTGTCTACGTGCTGTGAATTAAAATATTTGTTTTCTGCATCTATCGTAGACATTATCATGGTGTTATGTGTTTTTTGTAATAAGTTGATAACTTACAATATACAATAATAATAATATACTACAATATAGTAATTGTCGTTATTAATACATTCTGTTGTTGAATATGTCTGTTAACGTTATCATTTCAAAATTTTACATAGCATGCATTTCTTTTCTGTGCACTGCTACTGGAGTGTGTTATATTGAAAGGTGTCTCTAATGTTTTGTCCACCACATTTACATACATATGGTGGCAAAACACACATTACACACACACACACATTAATGATGATAATCCACAATGTTCTTGCTTTACTTGATGTTTGTGACACCTCTGGGGATAGTCGGTCATAGACCTTTTTCCCAGCAGACATTTTGATTCGGAAAAGCACAGGTGTGACTCACAACATTAATAGTCAGTTCCAGCGCTCACTGGCTTTGCCTACCGGGACACCTCATGGAACAGGGCCATCGTTGATGTTCTTAGTAACACCTGTGCTTCTCCTGCTATGACAAGTCAAAATGTCTGCTGGGAAAAACGTCTATTGCTTTGGTGCAATAACTATACTCACTATTAGTAGAGGAGGAATTATGTTAATGCAAAGGACAACAAGGAGTTTGTCTGGATGGTTAATAAATAAGAAGTTCATGCCACTGATGTATCTTTTACTAAATACACTGGAGGCTGAAAACATATCTAAAAGCCAGTCAATGATTCTGACTCTCATTATGTTGTCTTCTTTGACCAGACCCAGAACTACTTCCTTGGCTGTTTCCTGTTGAAGTTTGGCCTGACAGTGTGTGCCTACCTGTTGGCCTTTGGCTTCACCCTGCAGAAGGTCTGCCTCAGAAGCAGCAACCTAACCTTAGCTGACAATACCTCCTGTCTTCATATACTCACAGCCAGGTAGGAGCAGCACCTACACCTCAGTCCCACTGTCATAAGACCACCAGTTGATTTCTTCATAGGCTCATTTGTCGCATAATGGTTCATCTTAGGATATTGATGCTGAAAAGGATAGAATGATGAAAGAAAATGTTGATGTTGTTAATCTGTTGATTATCTGATTCATTGACTTTCTGTGTGACTGCAGCTCTGCAGAGAACGCTCCTCACTGGTTCGGTGAGCTGTCAAACTGCCTGCTTCTGACTCAGAAGGTCATGGCAGGATTCCTCGCCTTACACACAGGTAGGAAATCATTCTAACAAACACTGCATAAACTCACTCATGTTTATTTTATCATTATTCAAATCAATCCCTTTTTTCTGTTTGGTGTTTCTCAGTGGTGATCTCCCTCAGCTATGTCCACCGCTCTCAGCCTCTGTGGAGAAAGAGTCCCTTTAGCAATACCTGGTGGTGTCTCACTGTACCTGTGGTGTAAGTCATCATCTCTTTTGGAGAATTACTGTCTTAAGTTATACTCTACTGCTTATGTGTATGTCTCTGTGCTTGTATATCATATCATTGAGATTATTTCAACTGTGCTTAAACATCACTTTGACAATTCCAGCTCACTCAAGGAGTTAAAACCAGTCTTTAGTGTCTTCCCGCTGGTTACAAAACAGCAGGAGCTGTCTCTAGCTGTCTCTATCTCTAATGCTCAGTCTGCACCCACGGACTAAAGCTGGGTTAACAGCAGTCCTGCTGTAGAGAACTACATCAGGTTTTCACTTATAGTTCTGTGTCAGATTTCACCTGTTGTTAGCACCAGTGCAACACTAGACAGATGCATTGTATGTGATCAGGCCCTATCATACTTATATTACCCACAGTAACTGTGTTTACATTCTTTCATTCACATTGTGATATAGAGCGATAGTGGGCTATAATGTACTTGTAGTGAAGTAATCCAAGTAGCCTCTATTTGGTCTGGTCCCATTACTGAATATGAGACTGCTGCCATGCAGCCGCTGTGTTTCTGTAGTTTCGTTCACTGTGACAGAAAGGACTGGTTGTGGTGAGCAGGAGGTTTGCAGTGGAGATGTCTTTGGTAAATGTGTGTCCAACCAGTAGTACAAGTACATCCACTAAAAGTTCTTGTTTTTGCCGCTGACAGTTATTCTAAGTGTCATCAAGACCTTTTGTTTAACCAGAGACAGACGTAATATCGACAGTAATTTTACCTCACATAACATCATATATTTGTTCAAAGTGGACAGAAACAAATTAAAACTCACCAAAATTGTCTTTGGAGGGATTCACATGCAAATATACATACAAGGCCAGACCAGTTTTGTAAACAAACCACAGGGAGGCTTCAATAACAACACAGGCAGAGAGAGTGTGACGTCAGTCTCCACTCAGGACACCATGACTCCACTAGCTCTTTACTCATGTAGATTACCTTAACTTGTTTCACGCTGTCTTCACTCTCAACAATGTCTACTAGCAGCCTGTGGTCTCCACATGGTGTCTCTTTAGCCCTTGAGCCACGACATGCAGTAATTTGCCTAATCTCCGTAGCTTAGCTGAAAGCCCTGAATTTTCAATAAGACTGCTGTGCTGATACAGTGGGGATCGAACACAGTTGGCAGCTTGAACCTGGCTCAACTTCTTACACAACTCAGTGCAGAATCATGTGTCAACACTGTGTTTGCCAAACAAATACATGCTTCTTGACATTCCTTTTAGATTACTTTGTAATGCAGAGCTGCATAATTCTACTGATTACCTCACTGTCGTCGAAACACAAGATAAAATGATTGTCGCCATGATAACTGTCCAGTAAAACCCTGTCTCATAGTTGCTATAGTTTAGTTACATATTGCAGTGTTCATCTGAATGAAAGGTATGTGCAATAAGAATCATCATCATTAAACCTCTCTCTTATTAACTCTCTTCTCTCCTCCAGTCTGCTCAGCCAGATTGTTCAGGCCACGGTGGATTACCAGCTATGGCGCCACCAGGGCAGCCTCCTGACCTTTAACCTGGACGATATACCCCTGTTAGCCTGGCTGCTGGTCTCTCTGTCCCCGCTGCTGGTGGTGGTGGTAAACGAAGTGGTGAAGCTTCATGAGATACGGTATGAAACCAGACACAGGACGAACTAAACCAAAGCCGTTGTAGATGAATGAATAGTGATGGAAAGAGGAGACTGCAAATGGGTTGAACCCATTAACTCGATGACTTGGACTCTTTGGAGATTCTTGAGCAACAAATGGCAAAAAGGATCAGGAGGGGAGAAGGAAAACCAGTGTGGATTATTGAGGATTATTTAGGGATCAGATCAGTGCAATAGAGAGATTTTTTTCAGATTTTATACAGAACAGGGATGCGTTGCTGGAAAAATGCAGTAGATTGTATGTGTGTGTTAACCATGAGCTCTGATTTGATTTCCCCTCTCCATTTCAGGGTGCGAGTTCGCTACCAGAAGAGACAGAAGCTGCAGTTTGAAACCAAGCTGGGAATGAACTCTCCATTCTGATGCGTTCCATCTTGAGAGGTTTTTGTCGTGGCAATACTGAGAACCAGTCAGTCAGTTCTGGAAACCAGGGAAGGACAGGGTGTAAACACTGCAGAACCCTCTGTTAACACTTCAGCCCAGCAGCACTGCAAGCATCAGGTGGCGCAACCAAATGTCACAGTGGTATGAACGGTTGATATTCTGTCAGTTAACTGAAGGGCAGGACAAGGAAAATTCCAAAGCATTCATTTCCACTGAACAGAAAACAAAAAACTATTTATTGTCTGGTTTTAGTTTTAAAGGCATGAGGAATGTTTTCAGATGAGGTTTATGCTTCCTCACTATCACTTTTGTTCTCCATCTCCGAGAGACTTGTGAACGGTTCTCCAGGTCCCAAACAATCCACCAGAAGCTGCTTCACTTTCAAAGGATGTTAATGTGAAGTTCATATTAATGTTATCCAATGAGACACACTGAATTGTGTCATATCATTACACCAGTCCAGCCTTCATTCAATTTAACATAATAAATGTGTCTTTGATAAAAGGAAAAACACACAGAATAGAAAGGTAGTCTGTAACTATGGAGCCCCAAGTGTTCAATATTAAATAATTAAGTAGTTATGAAATAGATAATCACATGAAAGAACTGTAAAAATAATTTAAGAAATTAAGTTAAATAAGCCCCCTGCGTCTTAAGCTAGCAAGCTCAACAACTGTTGCTATCAGATTTAGCCAGTTAGCTCCTGTTAGCAAGAGCAGATTATTCTGAACCATCTATCTAGCTGCTGCTGTGAATAAACACATCTCCTTTTATTTATTTAGCTTAACAAGGCTGCTCATGTTATCTACCTAGCTGGCTAACTAGCTAGGTGGGGTTGTGAGCTTGGTTTATACAGCAGCTAATGTTAGCTAGTTAACTCAGAGTTACCTCGGCTGTGTTTTGAATCTAAAGATGTTACTCAGAGAAAGACAAACAGTCACTCAGCTAACACTGGCTTTCCACTTTGATGCTGACTAGTAAGCTGACAAGCCAGCCGAGCTAGTTAGCCAGCAAGGTAGGTAGCATTAGCAGCTTTATCAAGGCTTCAAAGCTAAAGAGGTTTAGTTACTGTCTGTGTTTATTTACAACAGCTTCCACTTGGTTAACTCAGAGTTACTTTGATATTGTTGATCTTGCTAACAGGAGCTAACTGGCTAAATTTGTCAACAGTTGTTGTTTGTTAGCTTAAAAGAGGCAAGGTATACGTGAACTGTGACCACTGTTATAAAAGGTGACATCATTAAAGACAACTTGACATTAAATAAAAATATTTTAAATTTGAACTAATTAATGTAAATTTTTATATAGGTTTGGGTATATATATATTTTAAATTAAATAAGTGTTTTTTTTATGTGTTTAATGTTGGGCACTTTGGGCCACCATATGTAACAATGTGTTTGGTCTTTGCTTGACCTCTACAGAACAGGGTGGAACACTACCTCTGAAAAAATGTGACAAAGAAGCTTCTGTACGCTTTCTTTCTGAACCATTCTGTAGTTCAGCCATTGAGCCACATTTTAATCTTCACTGTGGTAGACGATGTTCTCTAATATTTTATTGTATTTAGCAACAAATGTTCTTTGTTAATTTCTGAGCTAAGCCGAGGTCAGACCTGCTGTAACACAATAAGGAATGAAGATTAAGGGTTGAATTGGATCCATCACGTTTTATACACATGTATCTACATTTAGATACACACTGTATACACATTTATCTAACTGAAGAATGTGGCCGTGCAGTGATTTTAGTGAGTCCCTCCCTAAGAGATGGATTTAATGAATTATATAATGATGTTTATAATATTCTGGTATGCTGATGTACCAGAGTCTTCTGAAAGGTGCTTCATATCATTCAGTTGCCTTCCTCCTCAGCCTGTCTGTCCTCTTTTAGCTCTGAAACACCTCGACAGACAGGAGCTCAGGATATTGCTTAGTTTTAAACTATAAAGAATGAAGAATAAAGTAGATTTTGTCTGCAATACAATTACCCCAGATTTCATATTTGATCTGCTGACCAGCATATCCCAGAGATCATCTACAAGCGTCCCCATTAAACCACTGCGTTCTGGGCTTTTAATTCCTACTGTTAATGTGCAGCATCAGCAGCAGACGCCTGTATCACTGATGGTCTTTTTCAATCAGACCAGCCTTCTGTGTGGTGCTGTCATTATTTCAGATGGATGTGATTTTAATATTGATACTTAATACAAGTGGGATGATGGTGACTGGTAACTCACTTCAAAGCTAAATACTGGCTTTTATGTATTTTTATATACAAATATGAATCATGGAAAGTCATTCTTGTCAGTGCTGGTTTAACAAAAATGAGCTCCAAGTGATCAGTTTCTCAATTTATTTTCCAGAAAATATATCCCTATATATATATATATATATATATATTGATATATTGATATAACATTATATATACTGTAATATAGGATTCCACCCCCCCCCCTTTTTTCACATTTTATTTAACAGTTACCAATTACATGTCACATTTTTTACTCATAGTTTTGGTTTTAAAATATTTTCCTTTAAGAGGAGAATTTTTATCTCTGTCCACCCCTGTTTTAAACAAATTTACAGTCAATTGAATGACTGCAAACGGACACAGTGAACCTGGGGTTTCTGGGGAACCCTGAGGTCTGTTGGTAATCCAGCCTTGATTCTTGTCCACTTGTAGTCTTAATGTAAAGATGGCATCAAACATGGCATCTGGGGTTTAATCTCAGGTCCATAGCCATCATTGAGAACACTGAGGTCATGGTCTCTGTCATTTTTCTGGGAATTGACCCTTCCTATGTCCCACCCCTTTTCACTCTGTGCTCCAATAACAGTTGAGCAAGCCTCGTTCGGAACTTCGGTCAACTTTCTCCTTTTCTGTACTTATCTCCTGCTATGGGCTAATCTATGTTGAAAAGACAACCAAATTTTGAAGATGGTTAAAAGATAAGAGACATAGTCGCATTTTAGGTTCGTTAATGTTAGCAAAATGTATTAGCTAGCTGGTTATATCTGATTGCTAAAGTTAGTCAAATGTTAGCTAATTTGGTAGCTAATAATGTAGCTGGAGATTAGCCAGCTAGTGTCTTGCTCTGTTGCAAAATTAGTCTACATAAAACCTTATCTACATCAAATGTAACTAGCTAGTTACATCTGATAGCTAATGTTAGCAAAATGATAGATAACTAGCTAAGCAACACTTTATGTGAATAAGTTAACAGTTTGCTGACTGGCATATCTTAGCACAGTTAACTGAGATTTTGCCCAAGGCTTTCTTTAATCTTACAGGAGCACAGAGCAAAAGGAGGGCGGGACTTAGGAAGTGTCAATTTGGAGGTTTTACTAACTCTCTGGGGATTTTACAATTAATCACACACTGTACATATTTTACAGGCGCAATATAATTAAATTTGACTGCTTTTATGCTAATAGTAACTAAATGAAGAATTGATTCACCGTTGGAAAAGGCTTTAAAAGCTCAATCTAAATACAATTTGTAACAAAAAATATAAATGAATAGTTAACTGAATAGATAAAAAAGGGGGAAATCTAAATAATGACAACATTTTACAGACTTTAATTTTGTGGTGGGGGGGTGGGGGACTCATGATCTCAGTATCTTTCCTATCCTGGCTATGGCCCTGTTTAACCTGTGCTTGCTTTTTCTGTGTGTGACTGTTTTAGTTCATAGCTACAAAAGCTCTTTTAAGTTCTGCATTTAAAGTGGGGGTGTATGTGAAGAGAAAAGAAGTGCAAAAGCACAGTGCGGTTCTCTGGTTTTACGGCACTAAAGTACCTGTGATCACTTTCTGGACAGATGGAATAGTTTGCATGAATCTCTTGGAGATGGTTTTAAGACAAAACATTACAATGCAAGAAAACATTTAGGATTTTATTTTAATTTTGATACTTTCCTGGTTTATATCATGACAAACATATGGACTATGCTGCATGAGTAAGATCCAGTGAATGCTCTGTCTTGATCAATGTACATGTTATCTATAGTTCTACTGTTTAGTTCACAACACAAACGGACTCATCCAAGCATGGTCGCCATACTGTATGTTACCAGTCGACACTAGGCAGTTTGATAACATTATCACACACGCTAGGAGCTGAAGCCTGTTCCAATTGATTTGTAGGGTGGGGGGTCGGGTGGGGGGTCGGGGGGTGATGGTGATGGACTATATGATATAGTTGTTCACAAGATACATAAATGTATATTTTGTATTTTTTAAAGCGTCTATGTTCAGGACTTTTGACAAATTTGTTTGTGTATTGATTATGTCATGTTAATAAATATGCTCTTATTTATGAGATTGTTGTGTTACAATATTGTTGAACACAAACATGTAATACATTTATCAATCTGACAAATTTACACACACACACAGGTTCAGATTTAAATTCTATTTACGTTTGACCTCCAGATTCCTGCGTCCAGTTCCCGTTGTACTTAGTAAATTAGATTTTGCTCTCAGTCAAGTAGTATTTGTTTATTATTTCCTTTTTCTTTCTTTTTTTAAAGCGACACTCCGCCATCTTTACATATGAAGTTGAATTTATTAGCACTACTCAACATCACATGTGGCTCTGGGGGGGTTTTCCAAAGTTTAAAGAAATAACCCTGATGATGTCATAAGAGGCAGTATAGTAGGACTTCACCCACACTAGGGACTGGTGGGCTCGTTAGAGATGAGCCAGGCCTGCATAAAATTACCCGTGATCGTCGCACAATGCATGATGGTTAGATTTGTGTCCAATTTTCTCTGACAGCATGCATATGTGGGCAACGATAACCTCGCAAGATCGAGGCGGCTGCCGTTTTAAGAGCCAGGCGCCACAGTTGCTCTCCACGCCCATTGGGTGGTTGATAAGTTTAGTCCCCCAACTTTATGGAAGTGTGATACTAAATAACTGGAGTGCCCCTTTAATGCAATGCAAAAGGTGTGCATGTAAACTATGAAAACTTTCCAATTACACAGCTTGAGGGGTATTTATTCATGGATACTTTTATTAAGTGGGACTGATGCAGCTGTGATCCCTACAGTGTATTTACAAATCAAATACACTTTAAATCTAGTTTTTATATATATATATATATATATATAACGCATTTGTTACTTGTATCAAGACTTATTTCTCCTTTTTTTATGATGTAACCGGATCGTGTGGAGTTATGACAATTCATAATATTATTTATTGAATAAGTATTCGGATAAAAGTGCACTGAACCCAGTTCCAGCCAGTTACTATGGCTGCCCATTTCCGCCAGTGTGAAAGAAAAAAAAGAGAGAATCTTTTTCCCGTCACAGTTCGCCCCTCCGTGTAGTTTAGGTCCGACGCGTGATTCACTGAGGAAGCTGCCAACAGATTGGGCATAAGAGCATCATCTGCTGGTATAAGCGTCAAGATAACGAGAATAGAGTAAAATACTTCCGGTTGACCTTTCAAAGTAATATAGTTGCAGTCACGTTTCTGTTTCATACATGTCGACGTCAAGTGTTTATGGAGGCGTCTGCTCAGTGGCAAAAGCCATACTGTGTTTCACATTGTTATTAGTGTTACATAAATATATTTTAACCCTATATGTAAAGATAGCTTCCGGTGTACTTCCGGGCTTTCTCCGGCGAGCTTGACAGCAGTTGCAGACAGGGTCGATTCGACAGAGAGCGAGGGTCTGTAAGTGTCATTCATTAGATTATGTATTCACTGTTCATTTTAAATTACGTTACACCTTGAAAACACCCAGAGGCTGTATCGTTAGTGTATGCGCGCGAGCTAAGGACGTGTGCTCACGTTTTTCTAAATGTCTGACTTGCTTGCATGTGTCAACTAGCAGCTAGCTAATGTTAGCCTGGCTAGCTCGCTCAGGGGAGAACGTGTGTTTGCGTTCGTTTTGCAAGCTCGTCTGAAACACACATTATATTCTCGTTATTTGGGGGCTATACTGGCTCGCTCGGCTCGTTTTTTTTTTATTGTTGACAACCTAACGGGCCCACAATAACCTGGCTCAGAGAGTTAGAAAAAGCCAAGGTTATCCAGGCAGTCGCGTAGATGATTGCTTGGTGTCGAGAGACGTGACGCCGAACTCCGTTTAAAAAACTCTGCATTTAAAGATGCTTTCCCTCCGCTCAAAAATATAGCTTCGTGGTATAACGTGACTGAATACTCTGTATGTATTAGAAGGTATGTCGTTTCATTTCGGTAGGGCTAATATGCTATATAACGTTACATCAACTATGCAGCTATTACCAAAACATAACGTGTTGGCGGCGGTATGAAAAAGCATTTGACATTTGCTCTATTTTATTGACACAAAGTGCTGTTTGACAGATCTATTGAATGCCGAAATTATCCAAACACTTTAACAATTTTAGAAAAGTCTTTCTTTTTCTAGATATTTGTACGTCTCTCAGAAAGAAAGTTCGCGTTAAATTGTTTTTTTTTTTTTAAAAGGAGGTTTGGTTCTCCTTAGAAAAAAATCGCACGACTGGGCTGCAGCATGCAGACAGAATCCAATTTGGCAAAATTCAAGAAAGTGATCCGTCATGCTGTTGTGTGAAGGCAGGCCTGTATTGCCAGGGACTACATATTCTTATCACAGGGAAGAACTGCATTAATCTGATCATTTCTGATGAAATGCTCACCTCAAAATGACACCAAAGTGCAATGTGACTGACCAGTTGCTGACATGTTAGTGACCTGAAATGCTGAAACTTTCTTCCCCCTCTACCTGTCTGTCAGTAGTCTTGAACTTGGATGTAAACAAAATAAAAACAGAGCCAGGATTGGAGAAGATTTGTGTCTTGTTGTCACGATTCTTCTGAGATGGACGTTGGAGTGTCCAAGTCCCATGTGTTTCTCAACTACAGCCCCAGAGCCCTCTTCTCCCAGTGAGACACACATCTGCATGGTGGTGCTGTGTGCTCCTCGCCTCGGTCCCGTGGGGTCCCAGTACTCTTCGCTGTTGGCTTACCTCCAGTGCATTCTGTATCTGTGTGTGAGTTGTAGTTTTTAGCAGTGTGACGTTCAAAGCCTCAGAAAGAATTGGATGCTAGTGTTAAGTGATTTATGGAATGGCTGGAGGTCGCCCAACTACAGTAAATGGTTTTCAGTGTGTGCAGCAGCAGCAGCTTTCAGTGCATTGCGCCTTGCAGTCAGGGTCAGGGCGGCTGCAGTTTGGCTTGGTGCATTCACAAGAAGCACAGTGCTGTGTGTGTGTATGTACAGTAAACACTAAATGTTTAATCATTTAGGGGCTATATTGTGTGTATGTGACTGCTTGTGCACGTCTTTTGTGGGCTAATGATTTAGTCATATAGTCTGAGATGGTGAAAGGCTGCATCGTAAGAATCTCCTGAAGTGGTTCTCAAAGTGGGTTCTTGGGACCTCCAGGGGTCCTTTGAGGTCCCTCAGGGAGGTCCCTAACAAAAACCAGGAAGACTTACAGTTCATCATAATATATATTATTATAAAGTCCCTGCTGTGTCAGTGAGTTTCACTCTCACCAACTATCCTGCAGTTGAGAAAACACTCTCACATCAAGGTCCATTTAGTAGCTGTTCTGTAGCTTTCAGTCATATCACATGGTCTTCATCAGTATAGGGAGATGTTGAAGATGGTTCTTCAATGGCTGTCTCCAAAATTAGGGATGAACCCCTCAAAACACTGGTGCACTGCGAAAGTGCCATTTCGGTAGATAAAACCCAACAAAGTGCCCTTCCAGTGGACAAAATATGATAAAGTCACCTCTGTTTTGCCCTTCCAGTGGAGAAAACAATGTAAAGTTACCTGTAGTGGAAAAAATGTGACGATAACTGGGCAAACTCCATCTGCTGACCATGTGATATGAACGAAATCCCCAGAATTATGGACTGTTGAATGAAATTGTTTGATCCTGTTCAAGGTCAAGAATAATCACTTAACTTTATTATATAGTTTGACAAAAGATAATCTCAAGGCCCACTCCTGGTTGGAAGGTCCATGGAATGAAAGCGAGTAAGTCTTGACTCAAGCATTATTTTTTGTCAAACTTTTGTTTCTATGGTTAAGAAAGAACTGTATAGTCAACTATCATCTAGCTTAAACTGTTACCAAGATAATTCTAATAATCAGTATTAGTAAATACAACAGTCATCTTTTAATGGATGCCAATGGAACAGAATCGAATCAATTGGGGTTCCACAGAGAGATCTAATTTATAAATAGTCTGAAAAATGACAGTATTTGAGAACACCTGATCCTTTTTGAATTCAGGCTGGCTTACGCTTTTAAGTTTTGTGCTGCATGACTGTACAGTTGCCCATCAAGGCCGACAAAACACCAGCTAATACACTCAAACAGCAATATACACAGGAGCTGATACACAGGTCTGAACATGAACATGTGCAGTGACAACAGACATATCCCTGCCAGCAGAAAGAGACGTGTGTCGTGTTTGTGTTTAGGTGGAGCATCCCACTGGGTGCACAGCGTGTCATGGACGCAGTGAAGGAGGGTCACAAAAGCACCCTCAGCTCGGGCAAAATGGTGGCTCTGGCTGCGGGGCTCTCCGTCGGGGCCACAGTGGGCTACATTGTCTATCGTCATATAAGCAGCACCAACAACAGTGAGTATCTGCTGCTGAAGAGTTATTGTGCCAGGGTTGACGGCCATTTTACACTAACCAGATCTGTATATATTTGAGCATACATGACAGATCAATAATTTGCCATTAGCAGGTGAAGGGCCAAACCCTGAGGTGTCCAAGATGACACTTCCTGTAGAAGTTTATAGGAACATATCCAGATACCAAGCAAAGTTTTTGGACATGGTGAGTACGTCAATACCAGATAATGACTTTTACTCTTCAGATATTGAGCAGTCATTGACCTGTTTTTTAAATTAAAAAATTCTTACCATATCAAACAGGTTTTCAAGGTTAGATATACAAAATCCACTTGCAACTTGATGATACACTGGCGCACCAGTATCTCAGACCAAAACAATGGGTGCTACGGACAACCAGACTCCAAAACCAGTAATTTTACCTTGCAGATACTCGTAAATTACACTTCAAACTGGACAGAAACACAATTAAACTTACCAAAATCTGGTATTTGTTAGTCTTTCCCTCAATGAACAACTCTGGTTTGGTTGAAATAAACCCTTAATTCACTGACGTAGATGAGAAAATAGCTGTGATTCAAGCTACAATCGCTGCCATGTAATGTTAGTTAATCTGTGGGGACAAATGTGCCAGTCAAAGTTCGTCCACTGAAAGTAGTTGTTTTTGCCACTGACAGGCTCAGATTGTTATTCTAAGTGTCTTTGTCCATTATGGAAAGGATCCCTACAGAGATAGACCTTTTGTTTAACCAGAAACAGCTGTAATATTGCCATTGCTTTCCACTAGAGTATATAGACAAAAACGGTAATCTTACCTCTCTTATCAACGTAAAATCATAACTTCTTTCAGAGTGAACAGAAACAAAACAGAACTCACCAAAACCGTCTTTGTTAGACTTTCCACTGTTGCAACAATCACCAACTCTGGTTTGGTTGAAATAAATCCCTAATGCACCTATGTAGATGAGTAAAACAGCAGTTTCAGTGCACTAACATGCACATGTGGCCAGGCCAGATTTATAAACAAACCACAGACAGGCAGCTGGTGGTTGTGTGATAACAGTCCCTTCAGGCAGCCTAACTATCTGCTCTCCTGCCATATCTTTCTCTCTCAGGTGACCCAGAAGTCTGGAGCTCAGGTGAGGGTTTTATCAGATCCAGGGGAGCCAGGATGTAAGACGGCGGTGTGTTTCCTGCTGCAGGGCTCTAAGGAGCAGGTCCTGCTGGCCCGCTGTGTCCTGGAGAACCTGGTCACTGACTGTGAACCGGTGGCCGAGGCTTTGGAGGTTCCCCAGACCGCATTTGGACGTATAATAGGTAGCATCCGATCAGATTGATTACTGATTATTTGTCTCAGAACCTTTCTTCCACTGATGTGGAGCTAATGCTGTAGACTGATAATTGCTTCTATTATTCTTTCCAGCTGTACTGATCAGTATGTTATATAAACAGTGAATCAATTGGCAATGTGATGCCACACATTAGTAGTGTAGAACCCACAGAGAATTATCACCCAACTCTGTAATTCCCCTTTTTCACCTCCCCTAGCTTGTGCTTTTGGTTTTCCAGGCCACCGACTGCTCTCAGCAGCAGCTTCAAGATTGGCACTGATGCCTTATTTTTATTTATTTTTTTTTTTTTACAGTTTTTGGACAAGTATGGAGGCTTTGATATAAACTCACAAAACTCGTTAGTAAGGTACATTCAGTGATGGTTTGGCTCTGAAAATGGGATTTGGCAACAATAAGAATACTAGTTTTAAACTTTAGGTTAGTTAAATGTTTCTTCTAAACAACCAGTATTGTATTGATCATTTCTACCACATTATTTGGTAGACAGCGCGACAATGAGGAGACGGTATGTAATTTGTATTTTTTCATAGTTGGCCAGCTTTGGCCACCTCAGACCGTGCAAATCAGAAAAGAGTCTTAGTGACGGAGCAGAGGGTGTTTTAACCTCAATAATGAACATACATTTAGCTGATCTACCTTCTAATAATGAACTTTGTAAACAGCATAAAGTAACATAGAAAGTGGGGCTAAAACACTACAAGATCTGTCACAGCTAGTCTGACTGGTCTCCAAACTACATTTTCATCACGTTTCATCTGGAGTCATTAAGAACACCATTAATATTAATAACAAGCACATCATGTTTAATTAGTAAAGTAGTTTAATAACAGTAATTTAACAACAACCCTTTACAGCACACTGCTGTTAGAAACAATCAGCTGATAATTATCCTGATCAGCCAGTGTTAGTAATCAATACAGACATTATTAAAGCATTAATCAAACTAATAATTAACAGCATTCAGCATCAGTAGGAGAAAACTGTGGGAATGACAGGCGGATAATAATGTTTCAATAATTAAGATTTCTCCCTAAAATAAGAGCTGGTTGGTAGATTAGATACACGCTGAACACCAGCTCATAACACTGTCTATATGTGTGTGTGCCGTTACCAAAATAACTACCCAGTTCTGGTGCTGGAGAGAAGCCCGGGTCTGCTTTCACTGGCTGTAGCTCGTTGCATCCGACACAACCAGATATTTAGCCTGCTAGATATCTTTT